CTAAATTCAATTCAAGATGAAGAGAAATCGATTTATCATTTAAAAATATTTGTGTTAATTATATTCTTATTTTCATTTAAATATTAAAATCTAAAACAGCACTTCTTACTTACTACCAACTGACATGAAAACTATTAATTACAAAACAATATATAATTTATTTATCTTTTCTTGCATACCTTAGTATATGCAATGCTTAGTTTAAGATCTACACCTCCGTTTTCAATACTATCTATTGGCTGTCTCTTATACACATCTAGATGTGTATAAGAGACAGGGGGTGGGTCGATCCTAAAGCCTTTATTTAGCTTATCTGTCTCACTCCTACACTAAACTGTACTTAATAAAAAAAGAACATGTATTGTGTACATTCATGTTCAATGAAACTTATTGGAAATAAAAACAATTTGAATATGAATTCAATTATCGAAAGTTAAGAATTGACAAAAATGACCTCCATTGAACCCGATGGGATAGACTAGGAAAAAAATTTTAAAAGAGGCCTAGAAATCAAGTTAGGGGGAGTGGAATGTTAGAAGTAGTCAATATAGCCAGATATCCTAATTAATCCATCCTGGTCACCCTAAGCCCTGTTGACACTTGATTTTTCACCTGGTATACAAATGGCGGCCATTTTTCAAAATGGCCGCCAAATTTATCTAAAATGTGCATATAATTGGAACTAAATAAGCTACAGATATGATGTTGGTCTCTAAAATCATAATTTCTATACAGGCAACAAACCAGACATATAAAAACTGTCACTTATGCCAGAATGGAACATAATTAAAAAATAGGTGTTTATTTGTTTTAAAATATCCGCAAAATATATTTAAAATGTGTATAAAATAAGAATAAGTATATAAAATCACCAAAAAGTAGTCGTGTTTGGTATCATTGGAAAGCTCTAAAGCTCTTCCGATGCTGAATAATGTATTGCAGTTTATATATCAGAAACGGTGTAGTGTTTCGTGTATTGTCCCATAAAGTCCAATTATGGCATATCATATTAAAATAAACAGGACCCATTTGCGTAACTCGTGAGCTCTCGGATGGCGCGGGGGGGGGGGTGCACTCCTACTACTACCTAACACATTACTACCAAGCCTTAAGTAACGCATGTGCTTTCTGGGCGAAGTCCGAGTCCAAATGGGCCCTGGAGAGGGTTAGATACTTTTACTTAC